GGGAGGCCTTCAACGAGATGGATTGATACAGTGGCTGCGATGATGGGCTCGAGTATAGCAGGGATTGTGGGGCTGGTGCGGGATCGGGCAGTTTTCGTTCTGCTGTGCATGGGGTCGCTATGAGTCGGAAACGACTCGACGGCACTTAACAACAACAACAACAACAACAATGAGGCAACTGATAATGCCATGGCTTGGGTCAAGTGTACCTTAATCTTGAAAGTGACATCTCTGCTCTTCAACACCTTAAAAAGGTCTTTAGCAGCCGATTTGCCCAGTACAATACAATGTCTTATTTCTTAACTGCTGCTTCCATGAGTACTGATTACAGATTGAAGAAATATGAAATCTTTGACAGCTTCAATCTTTTCTCCATTTATCATGATGCTGCTTATTGGTCCAGATGTAAAGATTTTCATTTTAGGTTGAAGTGTAAACCATACTGCAGACTGTAGACTTTAATCTTCATCAGTAAGTGCTTCAAGTCAAAATGAAAGGCAGTGAAACACTGTCTTTCTCTAGTATAACCAATATTTGAAAAGATACAACTTATAGCATGTAAAAATTTGGAAATAACATATAATCAAAACATTCACTTCTCATCCTAAATGGAGCTCATTCTCCTTTAACATTAAACACATAAACATACATATGCATGTATGTTCTAATCTTAAAACAAACAAAGAAATATATATATTCCCTGTACAAAAGTATCCTGGCCCACCTATCTTTTCATAATACATTGTTATTAGGTGCTCTCAAGTCACTTCAGACTTATAGAGACTCATGTACAACAGAATAAAACACTGCCCAGTCCTGTATGACGAGAAGTCCATATGTCACTGCCTTGATGTGAAATAATTCTTCAGGGTAAATATTCATCTCAATGCATTAAGATTTATATGTGCAATTTCCATGAATACTAGTGGCAGTGAGTCACATACATCCTGAACACTGAGAAGACATATCTACTCTTGGTGCATAAGTTATACTAAGTAATAAGACTTTTTAAGTGGGTCAAGCAATAATATTAACTATCAATTGCTAACTTTTACTTATTCTTAATGTTGCCTATGAAATTAATCACATTCCAAATATATTCTAGCTGTTGTGTAAATTCTACACTGAGCTCTCACATGGGATTGCCATGAGTCAGAACTGACCTAACAGTAACTAGTTTTAAAGAACTATTATTAAAATTTACTATCTCGACAATTTGATTTGATTAGTGAATTTTGTTATGTTGTTGCTTGATACCACTGAGTCAGTTCCCACTCATAACAACCCCAAGTATAAAAGAACGAACCTCTGCCCAATCCTGTGCCATCCTCACAATCACTGCCATGCTTGACTTCATTGTTGTAGCCATGGTGTCTATCCAGCTTGTAGAGGGTCTTCCTCTTTTTCACTGACCCTCTATATTACAAAGTGGGAGCTCTGGTAGCATAGTGGCTAAGGCACTTGAATGCTAACCAGAAGGCTGGCAGTTCAAACCCACCAGCCACTCCTCGGAAGGAAGGTTGGGCAATCTACTTCCACAGGGATACTGCCTCGGAAACCCAAGGAGGGGTCGCTATGAGTCAGGTCTGACTCGACGGCACATAACAACAACAACAACATATTACAAAGTATGATGTCTTTCTCCAAGGACTGGTCCCTCCTGATAACATGTGCCAAGTACATGAGATGAAGTCTCCCCATTCTTGCTCCTCAGAAGCATTCTGGCTGCATGTCTCCCAAGATGCTTTGTTCATTCTTCTGG